TTGATTAAACAATTCGACATGTGCACGAACAAACCAACATCAATTGGAAGCTTAAGCATTAATCCTAGCACCATGACAGATGCCGCCGCAAGTGATCATCAACAACAGAGAGGTCGTGGTGGAAAGGCATACTCAGATCCTGACAAAAGACCCAAGAGAAACACACTTGCGGAATTGATGGAAGCATCGGAGCGGCTGCGGTCGTAGACCTTGAGGATCAACATGCTCATAGCCAGATGTTGCGCGCTTCTTGCATGGTCGCTCAGTGTTGGAGGCATCGGCGAACGTGTCCACTTTGGCCTCTTCACTATCGTTCAAAGCAGATAAGGAGGGGAACTTGAGTGGAGGAATAGTCTTAGTTTCGTCTTGTAGATTTTCCGGTGTGTTTTCTCTCTTTCTAGACAGCAGCGGTCGGTGTGCAGTGGGAGATGGCCGGTAGCGGAATCCGAACTCGTGTTTGGGATTTGGGCGCGAGCCACGGTAGTTTGAATTTTCTCTGAACCGAAATGGTGGCATTTCGAGGAGTTTCAGGCAGCAAGAATAACGTGAGCGGAAAAGAATGAAACGGCTCTTGGTGAGTGATCGAGAATTGGATGCGTAAAGTATTGCCAATGATGAAGGCGGGGGAGGGGGAATTGACCAACTGGATGGGTGGAATGGAAGCAGAATGATTCCGAGCGAGTGTAGAGGCTGAGGCTTGCGATCGATTTCAATTCGCGCGCTGGTATTGTCTGGCGTGATGCAAATTTTTCCCCAGCACAGCAAAGCTGCTGGAAATCACGTCTCCCCACAGGCCCGTTTCAGGTCCACGATGTACGTATGCCTCAGCGGAGTAACAGGCTACACTCCTAGCTGAGTGTATAGAGGCTCTCCATATCCAGCTCTCACAGCTCTCACTTCACCCTCATCTACATTTCATTTGCTTCGGGCTCCAATCTGTTCAATCATGGTCTGTTTCAATTCAGTCTTACAGAGTTTACCGATGAGCTAATAACTTACAGCCAAACATCAGAGACCTGCCCAACGAGCTTTTGCTGTGGATTGTGTCGTATTTGGACGGTAGTGCATTATTTGCCCTCGCAAAATCATGCAAAGACTTTGATTTTAAACTGCAGCCCAGCATCTGGAAATACAACATCAAATTTCAGAACAGCAATCTGTTGCACTTGGCCGTCAAATACGACAACGTTGGTCTTGCGGAGGCTTTGCTCCAGCACAACGCCAACATCAATGCATTTTACCGAGGCAAAACTCCTTTAATGCGGGCGCTCAAATACTCTTCCGCTGCTGTGCGTGAGCTCTTGCTCAGTCGTGGAGACCTAGACATCAACATTCAAAATCAAGCGCGGGAGAGCGCCCTGTGGTATGCCGTCCGCTACGGAACTTTTTCCACCGTCAAGCGCGTTCTAGAGCAACCCAAAGTCCAGGTGGACGTCAAGCACAAACACGGCCGAACGGCGCTCCACCTAGCAGTCTTCGCAGGCCGAATAGGGCTCGTGCATCTGCTACTTTCTAGTGGCAGCGACCCGGATCTACAGGATGATTCGGGCCACTCGCCATGGGACTATGCACGTCGCTTCAATAGACCCGCGATGGAAATGATCTTTTCAGACGACCCGATGGCCGAAGTATTTCTTGGTACTCAATCATCACAGGAGGCTGAGCTGCCTCTTCACCAAGCAGTATCCTATGGGTCGGTAGATGCTGTCAAACGGCTTCTCGGACAAAAGGGCCTGAATTTGGACATCCAGAACCGGAATGGCTATACGCCGCTCCATCTCGCCATTCGAAACAAGCGCCTGGAAATGGTCAATTTGCTCCTAAATCACCCCCGTGCCAACGTGAACTGCAAAGACAAACATGGCAATACGCCACTTTGGCTGTCTACTTACTCGTCATGCGACGGGATAACCGAAAGGCTGTTGGCCGAGAGAGACATCAACGTTAATTTTGTTGGAGTCCGCGGGAGATTCGAGACGCCGTCTACATCTCTACACCACGCCGCGACCAGATTGGATACCGTGCTCCTACGGCGGCTGCTTGCGGTGCCAGGGATTGATCCGAATATCTGCGTTGCAGGCCACTCTCCAGTTTCCATTGCCGCATATCAGGGACGCATGAACACGGTTGCTTGTCTACTGAGTATGGAGGGCGTGGAGATCAATGGAAGGGACGTGATAGATCCGCCCCTCTGTCGAGCGGTTGCACATGGCCATCTCGATGTGGTAAGACTTTTAGTGCAACAAGGCGCACGTCTGAACATCAATGAAAGCACGATAGTGACTCACGACACTGCACTCTGCATCGCCGCCCGTGGTGGTGACTTGGAGATGGTCCAGGCACTACTACGCCATGATCGAATTGATGTCAACCTCAGAAATCGATGGTTTGAGGATCCATTGATGCTGGCAGTCAAGGGTGGGCATTCCTCGATTGTTGATGCACTTGTGGTCAATCCCAGACTGAAAAACTTCAGTTTGAAGAGATCGCTGGGTCTAGCAAGAAACGATTGCATCCAGAGGGCCATTCGAAGCAGAATGGAAGACGGCAACACTCCTCAAACATTGTTGAAGCGGTCTCCGAGGAGAAGATTTGGTGGTCTGTAAGAGCTAGCGACATCTACTTCCGGTAGTTCTCGTGATGCAATGCGAGACGGTCGAGCCAATCGGCCCTTCTCCGCTAGCTGCACTGTCCACATTGTCACTGGATCCGTATTTTTGTCTATAATATGTTGAATTAATAGAAGTGACACCAGAACATGCGGGATTATTCGCAGATATACTCCGCAAAGGCTATAACATGCCTTCTTAATGTGAATAATCCGAAATACATAACCTGCATGCGGTAATTCTCTTCATTGCGACACCGTTGGATATTTTCCACGTTGTAAAAGTATGACATTGGACAATCACCAATATGCAAACCTTCACCCTTCACTTGCATTGTCCAAGAACCCCGGTAGATTGAGTCTGCAAGGGTGATTCCAGCCATCGAGCACCCTAGTCAGTCGACCCCGAGATGATTCCAGTGCCTGCTCAAAGAAGCGCAGCCGAGACAGCTGCTTGTCGTGGCGAAGCTGAAGACCGTCCCTCTCTTTAAGCAGGTGTGTGCCAGCCTCCTTCAAGATCTGATTGCTCTGCTCTAGCTTCTGGCCATCGATATGCTTGGTAACACAGGACTCCCAGAGACGTCGATAGAGTCCGACAAGTCGAGCCGCTGGAAAGGCGAAATTGGGATCGTCGCGTTCGAGGTCAGCTAGCACCTGCAAGATAGGTTGAAAGGGCTCGGTCGCCAAGGTATGTCTTGTTTCTGCTTCCTGTTGAGAGGGAGAGAGCTGCAATGGTCAGCAAAAGCATTGGAAGCTGAGCCGTACTACTTACCGATGGACGGACATGACCAGGAGCTTCCTGTGAATTGACTTTTTCACTAAGGATTGGTAATTCACTAGGCTGCCGGTCTCCTTCTTTTTCCTGGTCTGGTGAGCTGTTTGGGGCATCCATGTTGTCCGTAAGAGAAAGTCAAGGATCTGGGCAATACCACCTCCATCAATCATTGGTGTCTTTTATAGACTGACTATACAGACACAGGTGTGGTCAGTTTCACTATCACCATGAAAGTCACTCAACGCAGTCGGATTTTGACTGGAATCTGAAGGTTTTCAGCGGGCTGTCGGTAGTCCATTTGATTATGGTGATGGTGATCAAGCCTCGCGGTGTTGAGGGTCAGTGAGTGTATCTCATACTCAGTGGCTCACTGGTGATGAAAGCTCCTTCAGGAGATATATATTTGATCATAACACTTTTTTCACATTCGTTGAAAGCCTCAGAGATCCCAAATAAAAGATTGTACAATTTCAGTGATCAAAAGGAAAGTGAAAGAAAAAGGTATCTATCTCAACGATGGTCACAAGTTCAAAAGTTTACTTAAGTCAACAACGAAGGCCAAGCTTCAACTGGTTGACGGGTCGCGCACGCGACCGTGACCTGACGCTTTCCGCAGTCTAGACGGACAGATCCACACACAGCTCAGACAGCCAACACTCAAGCGAGGCGAGGAAAATAATTCCATGATTCTTAGTGATGAAAGTGTAAGGGCTCGTTGGTGATTCAAGTTGGGCCATTCACGCATGAGATGATCAAAACATGAATCAAACATTGAATAGCTCCCAGTGCCTCAATATAGAAGACCGTAGATTTCACAGTGAGCCAACGTTGCTTGACAGACTCAACCTCGCTCATTCTCAACACGACTCTAGCACATCTCTCGGTGGGCATCTAAAATGGCATAAAGAATGTCGCTGCAGAAGTCGCGGTAAAAACGAAGACATGGGATTCAACAGACCTCACTTAGGATAGGCACCCGTGTCCTTCAACGTTTGCTACCTAGCAGAGCATGTACGCGACAGGAGCCGAGAAGCCTATAAATACGTCCTCTACCCCCAGCAATTTGTTCTACAATTCTATCACTTGGCTACGCAAAGTCGAGCAGGCCTTGCGTTTGAGGTACCCGATAAGTTCTTCCCTTTGACCCCTACTGGAATTTCCACTGTACTGACATCTATCGGATACATCGTGGACCTGAAACAGGACCTGTGAGAGATGTGATTCCCAGCAAATTTACTGTGCTTTCTATGCCCGATTAAAGACACGAGATTTGGGCTAGCTGGTCAAAGCGTATGGTTCTTTGCGAACATCTCTCTCCACCATAGCAGCCGACTGAGCTGATCGACTGTTCTGCCCTGGGACGTACCTCCAAAGCGAAAGTGCGACTGCTCGTGCCGCAGGTAAGTGGACTTCTGTCCAATCCTGTCCGAAACTGGACTGACTTCAAAAATGATGCGAAACAAGGATCCGTGCATTCCGTCCAATATACACCAGCGCAAAAACCACGAAGCTCTTTCCCGTCTATTCTTCCCTGGTCTTGACCTTCAGAACATGTGAGCCATAGAGTGCCTCTCCGATCTACAAGCTAATAATGGGCACGAAATCGTTGACAGCGAACCAGAGTGAGCCCCCGAGGATACAGCACCCCCGTCAGTGCTCTGAGCAAAGCCATGGCTTACACTATTCCTGGCCTCGAACCATCCACCATGTCCTAGGTGGACTATTGCAAATCAAGGCGGCGGGGCAACAACTGGATGCGGATATCCAATGACGAGATTCCTTGCGCAGAAGCTTGAGACGTCCGTTCTTTATGGTAAGGTGAGTGAGTTATCGCACCTGCTGCTGTGCCAAATCTGATTATTTGCGCGAAGTCTTGTGCCCCAAACACGAACACCACTAAAATCTTCATGCTATTGTAAGAGCAGGCCATCACCATCCGTGCAAGGGCCGTGGCGAGTAACCTAATCTCGCCGGATCAGAGATGAAACCAAGCGGGCACTACGACGCGTGCTCCATCGCGTCTTCCACTCTCGTCCTCACCGCCTTCACAACGGTGGAGTGCCTGAACCTTTGGCTGTCATTACTACTGTACAATTCCTTATCTCAGGTGGATTCGTCGCTCTTTTGTCGCCTCGGGAAAGTGCCAGGTGCACCCCAGCGCGACTTTTCTGAAGCGACAGCCGGAGAGTGCGAGCATGAATGGTGACTGCATTGCCAATGAGAATTGCAAGTGAATAATGTCGGCAAGCTGAAATGACCACGAGGCTAATTGTTCGTCTGGTCTCAAGCGTACACTCTGGGGACTCTTTACGAACAGATAAACTACAATCGCAACTCGTCCAACTGGATCGCCTTGCTGACTCGGATCGTATAATAGGTGGGTACCCTCGTATTCCTGTTACTCGAGTCGAATGCGAAGCGAGCAAATGAGTTGTTTGCTGAGCTTCCCTATACCAATACGATCGCATGCTGTCTATCCGTTCCACCATGACTACTGGTTGCATCGGCGATGGACCACTGCAAGGTTCATATCGTCCACCTTGGCTCTTTTTCTCGAATGGATTCTGTGCATCAGACCATGGGTTGGTGTGTCTATCTGATATAAAACCCAAACTCTAACGAGCGCGTACCTGTCCGTCGGCATTCGAACAGCCTTGAAGGATAGCCACCTTGTGGCTTGGGCTCCTGGCGGTCCATGGGATAATTTCCTTTCCCTCGGATGGCACCTGGCGTCTTTCCAAGCCTGGAAAGACATCGAGGAATCTGATGTTTCTGTATTACTTCATGGCAGGTGGGGAGCCGTACCTTTGCAGTCGGCCAGGTTGTTAGTCCACTTTTGTGCTCGCTGGGGTTTGTGTCTTCCAACAGGTAGACACAACAACCCATGATCCGCTACACAGAATCGTCTGAGAAAAGGGTCGAGGTGGACGATATGAACCTTACGGTGACTCATCGTCGATGCCACTAGTACTCATAGCGGAAGGTTCGCGTGGGCTACTGATGGGCGGCCGACAAAGGAGCTATAACGATATTATCCACACCCTCCCCCCCGGGGGCCAAATCCGTGAGGCTATCATCTACTGTCACCATCTGTACTGTAGTACTGTATCCGGCCAATTGGAGATGTAAATGACTCTGTATTTCCATTACCCCTATTTCCCACTATTTATGGGGCCGTTTCTAATTACATGACTGACCTCCGGATATACTGTATACCCGAAGCTATTCGGATCATCTATAGACCCGGTTTCATGCAGTATTCGTAAGATATTTGTGACATCTACCTATCGACAGGACTGATCGACAGGAAGCACGTGATCTTATCGCGATAGGGAGCTCGACCAAACAAGGCATTTGTTCGCTTCGCATTCGTTTCAAATGACATTTGAGTACGAGGGTGTCCTCCAGTTGCACGGTCCGAGCCAGTAAGGCTTGATCCAGCTGGACGAGGTGCGATTGTAGCTTGCGTGTTTGTCAAGAGTTCCCAGAGTCTACACTGTTTCCACTTCTTACNNNNCCCCCCAAAAAAATTTGCTCACAAATGAAGATATTCGCCGCGTTTGATGAAGCAGCCCCGCCTCTAGTTTTCCCGAAAATCGGAAGTTGCAAGCATGCGGAAATTTTTGTATACGCTAGAGATGAGATAATCAATTAGCCTCGTGATCATGTCGGCTTACCAACTATATTTCACTTACAATTCTCTTCAGCAATAGAGTCATAATTCATCCGGCCGGAAGTCGCCATGTCGTATTCAAGTTCGATGCGCTCCGGCGCTGTCGCTTCAAAAGAAGTCGCGCTGCGCTGGCATTGTCGGAGGCAGCGGAAAGCGCGTGATAAGCCCACCTAGAACAAATAAATTGTATGGTGGTAATGAGAGAATGCTTCGCGATGCGAAGGGAGATGCACCCTTTCTCGGATTCTTGCGAGTGGCCAGAGGTTCAGGCACTTCACCGTGAAGGCGGTGAGGGCGAGAGCGGCAGTCGCGATGGAGATAAAAGAGGTACCCCGCTTCATGTGAGATAAAGCGATACCCTTGCTCTCAGTTCCAGGATTTTCTGCTTCCAACAAGCGGCCCTCTGTACCCCATACCAACCCCATTCAAGTCAACTCATGGGTGTCTGTATCTCTCGAGGTAACGACGAGCTTTATCAGCCTCGCGAGTACAAGGAAGACAGTGAAATTCCCTTTGCCCCTGATGGCAATGCACCACTTATCTGTGGTTGCGTCGAAAAAGTCAAAGGAACTTCTGGTCGTTTCAGGGGACTGAAGTGCGTACGAAAAACTATCATAACGCCTTCTGGGGTAGATTCATCATCACAAGACGTTAAAAAGCGCAAACTTATACAAGAAGCAAAAATACTCCACTACGCTCGTCACCACCATGTCATCCGACTCATCCACACTTACTTCGAGAAAGGAAATGAGGAAGAAATAAAATTTGCGGTCATTATGGATCGTGCAGATGGGAATCTACACGAATATCTCAAGCCTGGGAAGACCCCCAGTAAACGGTGGTTCGGATGTTTGATCGGGGTAATACATCACATCCATACTTTGGGTATTCGACACCGTGACATCAAACCCAGCAATATTTTGATAAAAGACCAACAAGTGCTCTTGGCAGACTTTGGTATATCACAAATGGGCCTTGGGAAGACAATGCCAACCACAAACTTGCAACGTAATTCCCAGAGGACACGGGAATACTGCGCTCCTGAAGTGGATGAGGGTAGGACACGTGGCCGGTCGGCAGATATTTTTTCCTTGGGTGCTGTCTTCCTCGAGATGCTTGTTGCTCATACCTATCCTGATGGGTACACAGAGCTTAGTGAGGTCTTGAAGACGTCATCTTCACAAACTTCATCTTATGCCAAAAATATTCTCGAGATTCATGAATGGATACATGAAAATCTTCATCCGGTCGACTGGCAAGCCACCATTCTTTCTTCCTGTCAGAGAATGTTACACCCCGATCGGTCTCAACGCCCCGTAGCTGAAGAGCTAGATTCGATTTGGTCGTCGTTCTCAGTATCTGGTGAATGCATGGCTTGCAATTGTGAAAGTGTCGCAGCCATGACTGAAGACAATAAGTTAGTTGAGGCATGCACAAGGGGCTCAAAGGACGACGTGGAACGCCTGTTAAAAGCCGGGGCGGACCCCAACACTATCAGCGCAATTCACCATGCTGCCGCACGTGGATCTACCGCTATTGTGCAGGCACTGTTAGATGACGGTACCAATGTTGACGTTCCGAACCCTGTCGGACAAACAGCACTTCATTGTGCAGCTCGGAATGGACATGAGGATGTGATCAAACTATTACTGAAAAACGGCGCCAATGTAAACGCAAAAGACGAAAACGAACAAACAGCACTTCATGGCGCAGCAGGTCAAGGATGCGAAAGCATTATCAGAGTGCTACTAGAGGGAAATGCCGATGTCGACACAGAAGACCTCGATGGAGATACTGCGTTCCACTTTGCAGCTAGGCGGGATCACTCTAATGTATTAGACCTATTGGAAAGACATATAAAAGAATTAGTTTAGCATGTGAAGCTCTAATTCAGTGATTATTCGACGTGTTCCAGAAATTTTCTGATGATACAGTTTAAATTCTATCGTTGTTCTTTGGTGTAGTTGCCTCAACGGTCTGATCTAAGAATATGGAATCATTGACAAGTATATTATGTTAGTCCAAGCAAATAGCACGTCTTTCCGGATGCAAGCGAAGTTATAAGTTCTTTGGAACTCAGATGGAGACACCCTTCAACTCCTCAACTACGAACTTGTCGAATGCTTCCTGTAGTCGAACTCCGACCTCACCGCAATGTGTCTGATCAGACTCTTGAGTTTGTAGCCCCATTTCGCCATGTGCTATAAGACAACGGGTGGCCGCTTTCCAGTACTTGTCGCCGGCAATATTGCGCAATTCAAGCAAGGGATTTGTACCTTTGAAGGGTGGAAAGCGCTCCTCTCCCAAAAGCCAGGCGCGGATTCTTGCGTCTTGAGAAGACGGCTCTGGCCATCTTTTAAGACACATTATCTTGTGCAACGGTTGCCAATGCGCGATCTCGAGAAGAATCAAGCCAAAACTATAAGTATCATACGTCTTCCGAGAATTTGTCGTTTTCGGCGCCTCATTCTGAATGCCTGGCCATCGATATATGTCCCATTTAGGGTCAAGACTGCGAGAAGTCGTTTTATTGCTCTCTGGTCTCGAATACTCAAATCCCGACAGGATTGGTTTCTCGACATCAAAAGTCTCCTCGTCAAACGGAAAAATGATATTGCCACTATGGATTCCTTTATGAAGCCAATCCGCCAGGTGCAGATACTGGAGAGAGGATGCCAGCTTCCAAGCGAGAGAAATCCGTTGCGCGAGAGTTGGCTTAAGGTAGTCATGGCCCAGGATACTGTGAAGAGTCTTCAACGCGGTGCCTTTGGCCGACCCCTCAGGCATCATGAATATCCATCCGTATCGGTTGTGCTTATCACGATCGTCCACATATCCAATGCAATTTGGCGAATAAAGGTGTCGGGGCTTGTTGCTGTGAAGCATCTGTGCAAGAACTGCGGTTCGCAACCTGGAATCTTTGTCCTGAACAGAGCCTCTAGCAATGTTCTCTATTGATTTCCATTCCAACCAAACCTCGAACTTCGTACCATCTAGATGTAGAGTCCCCCTAGGCCGGTGCAGTTTCAGGCCCTCGGCCTCTGTACAAGCAAAATGATGGCTCAACGCGATTGTATCGAACCGCTTAACACTGAGAAGGCCCTTTAGCTCCTTCTCAAAGTCAAAATTTGCACCATTTTCGACCTTCAAGATGATTTCATTTGATATATGCTTGATTGTCTTCAACCGCAAAAGATCTCGAAGTGTCTCGTCATTCTCGTTGGAAATGGTGATGTTTGTGTCGCCGGAGACCTTGGAAATCTTGATCAAACTGGTGATTGCTTCAAGCATGTCTTTAAGCTCCTTGACGTCGTCACGAACGAGAATCATCTCTCGATAGGTTTTCGCAGTAGCAGCATGGACCCGTTTCTGGCGGTAGTCTCCCATCAACTCGTGGATACGATCAGTCAAGATGTGGATATCCTTAAGCAATGCCTCAAAAGCTTCTTTATCCACTGCAACCCATCGAACGCGAAAAGGGTGAGTTACAATCTCTTTAGCATTTCCGGCTCTTTTCAACATCCATTTGATAATGTGGTCGGTCCCTCGTAAGTGCCTGCGTTCTTCCTTGGTCCGCTCATAGGCTACCGCCAAGCTTGAAACCTCTTGCACAACATTCATTTTCATACACTCCTCCAATGTTGCTTGATCATTCCCTTGGTATGGGTTGAGCTCATTCTTCCAACGGGCATTGATAGCTTTGAACTCTCCGAGAAGCCACCCAATTCGAGATACAATGCTACAGAGCTCAATGGCATTCGTTCCAAGGGCCACTGCCACATGTGATCCTTCGGGAACATCAATTAAGCCAACCGCCTCACCCCAAGCAAGGAGACGGTTGTACTCGATCATTAATTGCAGTCGGCATTTCTCACATTCCTTTGGCATGTCCACCATAGAAGAGAGAAACTTGAA